TTCACGTTCTGAACGCTCTACACATTTCCCCGAGAGCCAAAAGTTAGAGCACATCGGTACAGGAGCAGTGAGTCGGCCAAAAGCAGTACGGTATAGAGAGGGAGAAAACAAGAGTCGCTACAAAACAACAGAATCAGTGCACTAAAGAGTAAGAAATACAAACTGACCAAAAATTCATCTGGAGGAAAATTTCAAAGCTGAATCACATTCATCAACAGGCTAAAAACTGGAGAAATTATGTCTCGGAACTCTCGATTGATTTGGTAAGAGTTTTACGGCACTCCCAACTGTATCGAGTCATCATATGAGAGCACTCTCGTATTTCTCAGATCACTGAGGAAGACGTCTGCGCTCCATTAGGTTTGGAACAAAACCGCGACAGTAGTTCACATTGGTGGACTATATTTAGAGCAAACTGTTCTTTGATACTGGCCAGATGACACAACACGGGTACACGAGGACCGACAAAAGGAAAACCCTAGTCAGCTGTGCAACAACTGGCACAAACATGGATTTCTTTGTTAACTTTCTATCATTTCTGAGCACGTTTTCACCGGCTTTGTCTGTTTTGTTTTAGTAAGGTTTTACGGCGCTCGCAACTGCATAAGGTCATACCGGCTTAATCTTCTCAAGCTCAAATTGATTGCCTGATTGATTGAGTAGATGTCTTACAGTACTTTCAGCAGTATTGGTCATGCAAGCGCCATCAAGCTCCAAGATGTATGGTAAAGAACTGTAGAACTTTCACCATAACCCGACGCACGGCAAAACACTGCCACTTGTCCACCGAGGAAAAGTTTGTTGGTTCTCTTGAACTGATCGTTTAGTATTGTTTAGTAGAGATTTTACGTCACTCGCAACTGCATCTCTTGAACTGAAAGGAGACACCAGGACTGCGACAAGGAAAGAGACCAGCTCAATTTTCTAAACTGTCTACTTATAATATCTTAAAAGAGAGAAACAGAAAATATGAATCAACATCCAACTCTTCTTCTGACAGCATTCTCACACACTCTCCTCCCTAAGTAAGTCCGAAGTACCTTACACAATCCACTTGGACAGTATTCGTGAAAAAAGATATTGAAAGTTCAACAACTCAATACACAAGAAATTGACCACAAAACGCCTCATCATATGACAACTTCTGCAATGTGTTCACCTCCTAGATCTGTATCGGCCGCGATAATGACAATACATCAATGTGAAATTGCAGCACCCAAAACTGTCAAACAGGATTTCACCTTCTCTTGCCACCAGACATGGCACGTTGTATTCAGAGGATAATTTCTAACTGTGCATGGACCTCCCAGTGAAAAATGTGAGGCAGCCTGGTGAAATCAGCCGCTGGGCAAAATAGTAACAAAATTGAGAAAAACCCGCATTTTTCTGCTAGTTTGGCAATTTTTATGGAAATTTAGGGTTTTGGTTTAACACCATTGTTGTCCAATTAAGAACTCATTTCTGACTGGATTTTTACTGACAAACCCACACAAAATGTAAGTTTTCAGTTTCCACAGATCATCAAGCTATGGAAATAACCAAACTTTGGCGGCCATTTTCTCACTATTCTATCTTTGAAACCAGGTGACTCCGCCTTCTTCAATCTCAAATATCTTGACTTCTATTCAAGATAGGCATTTCTTTCATCGTTGGCAAGATAATTGAACAAGTAGATACCAATAACTCTACACGCCCAAAAATTGACGAGCGCCTGATTCCACCACATCGTGACACATGTGATGTTAGAGAGAAGAAATGTTCGATTTTTCCGCCACCAGCCAATCCCCCCTGAGCCATAAACTCAAGGAGTAAAAACCTCAGAAATAAATATCTTGTTTTCTACCACAAAAAAAAAAAAAAAACGCTAGCGAGTATTCCTGCCAGCGACACAGGGGACCTCACCCAGCCCCCTCTCCTACCCCTCTACAAGTGTGTTACACAGGATCCACACTAGCTAGAGTGAGTCGCTAAAGCCAATGGAACTGAAAAAAAAAAAAAAGAAAGCAGTTTCAAGTGACATATATTTATTCATTTATTTATTCATCTCCCAGCCGCTGCGTGGGAAGCAGAGTACAAAAATTAAAAATCACAGTAAGTGACGTACGGTAAAGAATGAAGAGTCGACTTGAAGAAAGAGTCCATGCTAGTAGAGGAGGAGGAAGGGGCGGAGATTTGTCTCTCACAAGACAAAAAAAAACATCTCATCATAGGATTGTACAAGTCATAAAATCAATAAGCAAATCAATCATCATTCATGGCATTTATCAAGTCCATGGAGAGATGGTAAAAAGAAGCTACTCAAGTCCTTCGATCACAAAGCGCATTCACAACGAGCGACACGAATAAAATGAAAGGGGTTTGTTTGCAAATGAACAAAACTACACTAGTAAGGACATTCACAAAAGCCGCTGAGGGGGGATATCTAACAATCAAATAATAATTATGTTTAAAAAAAAAAAAAGACAATGGAGAACATGACCCCTTGAATTGCACGAAGATCAGTCATTGGACATACGTACGGATGTATGGAATAACCCAGAGAACAGGGGGAGGGGACAATGGTAGTTAGGACCCGCCAACAAAACACACAAAAATCCCTGCTCAAGACTGAAAACACTGGTCGGCGTACTCATTGCAACAAAAATAAATACTTTTCTCTGTGAGGCATCACAAAAATGAACACGTGATTAAAAAAACAAAAACATTTTTTTCCCCAGGGCTCAAGCAAACATAGAGATCAATCTGCTTCACCTTTCACCACCACCCCCCCTCCCCCCTTTAATCAACCGAGGAACCACTGAAGCAAGCACACACCCGACACACAGAAGTGATGACCCCCCCCCCCCCCGGACCCAATAGGGCTACGCGCCTGCCTATCGGCTCCCTCTGGACACAACAAGCGCAATAATAGACAGCATTTGTATAGCACAAATCCCCGCAAGTGGAACGTTAGAACCAAGAGATACGGAGAAGTAAGAGTGGTCTAACTTATGCTCTTTTCCCACATGAAACTGCCTCTGGGTGGCTTTACTTTAAAGACTTTTTTTCTTGATCGAGATTTCCCATATGGAGTACTACGAAATTTCTCTTGTTTGTTTTTTGTTTATTACTAGCGATGTGATTCCATTACAGTCGGCAATTTTTTATGATAATGATAATAATAGAAGCATTTGTATAGCACAAATCCCCACTCAACAGCAAGCTCTATGCGCTTCACAATCTATACTATTACCCCAGCAGACCTGAGAGCATTCTGAAACAACCTCAACTTCCTGGGAAGCATACTACAGTGCAAGCCGCCATTTATAGGCACTAAACCACTGACATACAGTGCAAGCCGCCATTTATAGGCGCTAAACCACTGACATACAGTGCAAGCAGCCATTTATAGGCACTAAAACACTGACATACAGTGCAAGCCGCCATTCATAGGCGCTAAAACACTGACATACAGTGCAAGCCGCCATTTATAGGTGCTAAAACACTGACATACAGTGCAAGCCGCCATTTATTGGCGCACTACAACTCTCAGCCTCATCACGCACTGTCCAGCTTACACACTGGGACAAACAGGCAGTGCGGGGGTGGTGGTGGTGGTTGGGGAAGGGGGAGCGACTGGGGCCTGTTACAGACCAATCACCAGCACTCACTCAGGGCTCGGCATGTTCCGAAGCCATCACAGAAAAAGTTATGAAAAATTTTAAGAGCAGAAAAAAAACCCAACCACAACTTGATGATAGCGAGGACTGTGCACCTGGTGACAAAAATGAAAGCTCACCGCTGGAGAACGGGGCTGCGATTCGTAAAAAATGGGGGAAAAAAAACAAAATCCATGAAGAAATGTACAGGAAAGCCTCAACTCAGACGTAGCGTACAAAATATCATCAGAGGAGGCGATTCCGTCCAGGAAGGGAACTTATCCAAGAAATGAAAACGTTACAACTTTTGGACCTAAGGCAATTCCTCTGCTCTAAACAGCTTCACAAGTTGCACCATTCACTCTCTCCGCCGACAGCACAACCTTGCAAAACAAAAAGGCCGGATGGAAAGCAAAAGGACTAGAAAAGCCAAACATGAGAGACATGGGGGAACATAAGTAGACACCACCTGGAGTTGAGTATTGGAGCATGGAGCACCGATCGAGTCGGGCGAGCATGAGAGAGATGTTGTCGGGGGGGGGGGGGCCGTGGACCACCACTGGGTTGGTCGGCTTGAGTTTTCCCTAGAGTTTTACGGCACTTGCAACACAAATCGGCCACCAAAAAAAAAAAGTCAAAGATTAGAGGCGTTACTAGAGAGTACTATACAATGAAAAGAAGGAGGAGATGTAAGGAAGTTAGTTGTTGGGACAGGAGAGAAGGAGCAAACCACACCACACGTTGAGAACACCTGCCAACCACCGGGCGGGTTGGATAGGTCTCCACACACAACACTTGGTCTCAGAAGCAAGCGTCGCTGGCGCTGCAGAACACTTGGGCCAAGCAGCAGCCACAGCAACAGTAGCAGCAGCAGCAGCGTCGCATCAAAAGGAATGTTGGCACGTAACAAAAACATAAGCGCGTGAACGGCGTAGTTGAAAGAGCAGGAACGTTTGTTGTGCACCGCTGTGACAGGGGAGAAAAAACAACAAAAAGCAACAAAAAACAAACAAAAAATCCCCCCAAAAACAGCCCAAACAAACATCGTAGAGAAATTCACGAATTCTGCCACCCACTCAACAATGTGCTAGCTCTACATTCGACGTCCTTCTCCCCACACTTAACCAGCCAGTCAGTCGGCACACAGATCCCCGAGTGTGGTTCTCTACAGATGAGGGAACGACAGACACGACCCACCACAGCAGACACGGCCGGTCGTCAAGAGCGTTTGTTTCACATCAGTCGAGTTTTTTACCCCGCTCGCAACACAAATAGAAGTGCTGAAAGAAGTGTGTGTGACCAACATTTTATGGGTGAAGAACAATGTGTGAGGGCTACAGTTGAACCGCAGGCTGACGGGAATTTTTCTTTTTCTTTTGTAGTGGTATCTCCATCCAGCCTCCATCCCAGATTTTTATCTAGCTCTCTCTCTCTATCTCTCTAGAGGCATAGCACAGACCTACCAACCACCCATGACCCAAATTTCATGTTCTCCTCAGAATCCTCTTTAAAATTCATTCAGAGTCTCCAGAACTCCAGCTGATTAAGATAACATTCCAAACCAAAAGTAGCGAATAAAAATGTATAGTAAATACATGCACAAATAAAAAAGTGTATTTCTCGCCATTTACACTAAGTCGTAGCAAATATTGCAAAGAAACCAGTGTATTTTCAAGCCATTTACAATAAATTGCGTGCATGCGACTGACTGAAACAAAATTCGAGAAAAAATCGTATTTTTATGCATTTCCAGCTGGGGTTCATCAATGAACAGGGAAAAAAAACATCCTGAGGGCTTGGATGTCATCGAGAGTACTCAGCAGGTCTTGTACGAGCACACTTGAGCCCAACGACAGACCAGGGTTTGGGCAGAGCGCCCACATGGTGCGCGTGTTTCCACGTACAAAAAGCGGGGTGCAACAGTGAATAACTCATACTGGACCAGAAAAGATTTGTTATTCTAGCAGGGAGACCTGTTGACCTTCCTTCCTTCCAACGAGTCGCCGCGGACAAACCCGTCCGTTCTGGCTCGGTCAGGGGTGCCAGACACAAGAGTCGACGACCACTTTGGCAAGCTTTCACCTGGCCTCCGACCACATGACAAGTTACAGCTCGTTAACAGCAACCATGGTATTATTATAATAACAATAATCAAAACAGCGCAGTTATTCAGGGAGCGAGGTGGGGGGGAAGAAAGAAAAAACTGGAAAAGAAAAAGTAAGCAGACATTTTTGTTTTTTGAGTAGATTGTGAGTGAGGAGGAAAAATCTTGTCAATGAAGCCATCATACACTGAACAAATAAAACACACACGAATGAGTAGGACAAAGACGTCATATTATGCACACAAACACATGTCCACAAAAAAGTCATGAATGAAAAGTACATCTCGGCAGGCTAGGGCCCTTCAGCTTCCTGGTTCTTCCTTGTTCTGACACAGCCACATGACCATGTGTGTGCGATGGAGGGGTGAAGGGGTCGGGGGTCAGAGCTTACAATTAAAAAAACAACAACAATTTTTAAGTCAAAAAAGTCTTCTTTTCCTACAATGGGATGAAGTGATAGACAGACATGCAGTGGTGTGCACAGGGCTGAGCGGCCCCAAAAGTCCTACGACAAGTTGGCCTGAATCCCCCCACCCGGTGGGCATGGTGTGTGTGAGTGTGTGTGTGTGTGTGTGTGTGTCTGTGTGCGTGCGCCCCTTCCCCGAAGCGAGCCGCCTACTCTCCGACAGCCTCGACGTCTGTGTGTTTGACCTTGGAGAAGTCAAAGTCCTCCCCGGTGATCCTCTTGAACAGGTCAAGCACGTCGTCGCAGGTCGTCTCAAAGTGGGTCGTGGCGTCGTACGATTTAGAGATGAAAATCTGGAACACAAGGCAAGGGTTTACTTTAATTTATAGTTTTGGGAAAAGTTTTGTTTTAGTAAGTGTTTTACAGCTCTTGAAACACAAGGTTATATAAGTGCTGAAGATTAGAGGTGTTACAAGAGAGTAACATACACAAAAAAGGAGGGGAGATGTTTTATTTATTTTTTTTATTGTAGAGGGTTTTACGGCGCTCGCAACTGCATAAGGTCATATGAGCGCCAAGGGGTGGGTATCAACAGTGAAGTCCTTACAGGGAATCAGGCTTACTCTGCTCACCTCTCTAGCTTCAACAGCACAAGGTCTGCTTCGACTATCAAGGCACCCCAAAATAGCAGGTCACAAGAGAGTGACAAACATACAAAAGAAGTAGAGGAAAATGACAATAGTAAGGATCAGGAAAGAAAAAACAGCAGTTCCCTGTTGTAGATCAGGCACAGTTATGAGCGTGACATGAGTCAGCCCATTTATAATTCTACTATGCTTGAATGAGAAATGTCCCCCCTTTGGGAATGGCCTAAAGACACTTCAGTCAGTGGCACTGCCCCGGACGAAAGGAGGGGAGATAGATGATAGATGTTTGATAGGAAAGAAGAAGCAAACCACACCAGAGCACCCGCCAACCACCATTTGGGGAGAGTTTTACGGCACTTGCAACACAATTAGGCTATGCAAGTGCCAAAGATTAGAGATGCCACTAGAGAACACTGTACAAAGAAGGAGGGGAGATGATGGCAATAGATGTTTGATAGGAAAAAAGGAGCAAATCTTATCAGAGCGCCTGCCTACCACCCACACTCGGGGTGGCACAGATTTTTACATCAGACAAACAAAACAATAGCTACATTTCAATAAAAATTATTATTATGATAAAATCAATAATAGTATCATCTGTAAAGCACATATCCACTCTCTACAGCATGCCCTGTGCGTTAAAACAACAAGCACGCCCTAGAACACAAAGAAACATTCTCGACTTCACAGAGAATATACAGTGAAAGCTGCAGTTTTCATGTGCTCAAACACTAAGAAACTATGTCTGTGAATAAAGACAGAACACGGCAACAAATGAGAGACGTAGACAGGAAACCACACCGGAGCAGCCATCCACCACCCAAACATCTGGAGGAAGAACAGTTGTACTAACACAGTGGCACCATCAACTTTAAAAAAGAAAGCACTTTGATAAAAATCTTCGAAGTTTTGAGAAACTATTTTAAAATTTGTCCACACCAGAACCATGTTGGGCACTGGACATTTCTCAATTAAAAACTAGGAAACTTTATTGTATGCGCCTTGATGGTTTTTTTCCATAACTGTTGTACCTGAAAACTCTCAGAGACACTTGGGCAACAGTGAAATGTGAGATAAGGACAAGAGATGTTTGATAGGAAAGAAGAAGACATAAAGACGACAGAATGTTCGATAGGAAAGAGGGAGGAGAAATAAGGACAATAAATGTTTGTAGACCTGCATGTGAGCCTCAACCAGATTATCTGAAAATTTTGCGCGCACCCCGAGCTTTTGTGGGGTCATAAAAGGAAGGACTTCCGAGCGACCATCCCAACAAACACAATAAAGAAGAGACCTAACCCTACTCCTAAAAAGAACCTGCAACGGCCCTCATCATGTTAAAAGGCCAGCAGCACAAGTCCAAAATGAAGAAAAAAAAACAACACTCTCCAAAACAAAAAAGGAGAATAATAGAATGGCCTTAATCGCTATAATAGGGCTTGATACAATAACACAAAAGAATTGGAACATGAATCCTCCATATAGTAATCTTAATAAATCTAGATCTAGATCTAGTAGAACAAGAGAATAGGGATAGATCTAGGCCTTGAACGAGAAATCCGCATCCGATTCCGAACAGAGGGACTCAGCAGAGTCTAGATCTAGAACAAGAATTTAATCTAGATTCTAAATAAATAATATACGCACCTGATGAAATGATTTTTACTAACATTAATATTACAGCACAACCTTTTATAGGGTTTGACACAATAGAATTGGAATATGAATCTCCATTGAGGTCTAGATCTATAATGATCTATATAAATCTAGTTCTAGTAGAAGAAGTGAGTTGGACTTGAATGAATCCACATGATCTGAACAATCAGTCAACAAACGAAATTCAAAATGGCCGCTCGAGCACGAACTGAAAATAGATAATTTAGGTCGTCGTCCTTTTTCGTATTCTATTTCTACTCAGGTTCCGACAATTATGCACATTGACAAATACAGGTGGGCTAGTGATAGCATCCGCCGGCTCAAGGGTCAGGTCGCGATTGTCGGATTTCAGACGATTGTCTGCAAACTTGCAGGTCTATGTTTGATAGGAAAAAAAGAGAGATAAAGACGAATGACGGAATGTTAGCTAGGAAAGAAAAAGCTGTCATTACTACAACAGCAGCAACATGGAAAAGAAGTAGAGGAATCAGACCACACCAGAATGCCCCCCCACTATCAAGGCACCCCAA